GAGTCTTAGTTTCTTTGTCTATAAAATGGGAATAATAATTCTAACCTGACAGGGCTGCACATATTAAGTTTTTAAAAATGTATGTGTGTGTGTGTGTGCATGTGTGTGTGTACTACAACTGCTACCTTAGGGCCTGCCACTAAATAATAAATAATGCCACCTCACTTTCTAGTCTATCCCCCACCCCTGCCTTTCCTCCTAGATACTAAATCAGTCAAAGATGTCTCTGGGCAGAAGGCAATTCAACCCTCTCTTTCCTATGATTAGGAGTGGCTAAAAAGGAGAGGAAGCACTGGGCACGGTGGCTCATGCCTGTAATCCTAACACTTTGGGAGGCCGAGGCGGGGGGATCACCTGAGGTCAGGAGTTCAAGACCAGCCTGGCCAACTGGGTGAAACCCCATCTCTACTAAAAATACAAAAATTAGGCAGGCGTGGTGGTGAGCTCCTGTAATCCCAGCTACTCAGGAGGCTGAGGCAGGAGAATCGCTTGAACCTGTGAGGCAGAGGTTGCAGTGAGCCAAGACTGAGCCATTGCACGCCAGCCTGGGAGATAACAGCAAGACTTCATCTCAAAAAAAAGAAAAAAAAGAGAGGAAGAAGGAAGTATGTAATCCTTAAGTGAATAAGAATTATTGTTAAAAATCTGCTTTGCACAGTTTGCTGCCCACATTTCCAAAGTCACTCACACTTTCAAAGGAATCAGCCCTTGAAGTGAGAATTAATGCTTTAGGGACAAATGTGTCCATCTTCCTATTCCTTTAAACATGCAAATGCCACCTAAGGAAGTGGCGATGTGGGTTTGCTCCATGTTACATTTCCAAGATGGGGAGAGAGGCTCCCATCTATCTGGGTCACAAAGAGCTGTCTCCTAACTCCTGTCTCACCTGTGTTTTGTGGAATGAGTGGAGACTCGATGGTTCCCCAGCGTGCAGTATGCTTCTTCCCAACCCATTTTTATTCTGCCTAGCCTAAAGTCAAACATTTTACGTCCAGAGGCTGGGAATTATCAGTGAATGGGCTAACGCTAAGGGAGAGAAGGAGAGGCATTTGTGATAGCTGGCCTGGTGCTGTGTGCACAGGGAGAGTGACTAGGAGCCCTCAGTTTGGCCAGTTATCATCCACGTCCAGAGAGGAGGGTGGTGCTGCTTAATGTCCTCACCAGGCTATCATGGAGAGTAACAGTTCATTCTGTAATTTGACTTACGTTACCATAGTCGCTAGTTTTGACATAGTTTTAATATCTCCTTTGGCCAGTGCGGTGACGCCTGCCTGTAATCCCACTGGAGTACAGGAGTTTCAGACCAGCCTGGGCAACACTGATTAGTTTGGGGACCCCGTCTCTACAAAGAATACAAAAATTAGCTGGGCCTGGTGGCACGTGTCTGTGGTCCCAGCTACTTGAGGGGCTGAGGTAGGAGGATCATTTGAGCCCAGGGGGTGGAGGCTGCAGTGAGCCATTATCACACCATTGCATTCTAGTCTGGACAACAGAATGAGACCCTGTCTCAAACTAAAATTTCAAAAAAAATAAATTTCTTTTTTAGACATATTCAGTGCTGATTCAATCACCGTGCTTCCTCAAACCCTCCCTGCCTGCTTGCTTTAGCCCCATTTCAATGTCATCACTGGCCATTGGTGTGTCATGCTGGTTGCCCCTTTTGAGGCATCTCTGATTCATACCTCGTATCTAGCGAGCATCCTCAACTCTGCTGATTCTAGCTCAGAAAAAGAAACCATGGATGTGGTCTCCAATCCAGTTGCCACTGCCCCAGTGCAGGGTCTCATTGTTCACTTTTAATGGAATGCATTCCAAACTCTCCTCCTTCTTTTTAACTCTCATCTACCTTTTAAGCTGCCTCAGCATATGACCTTAAAACCCAAATCAGGTCACACCTCTTCCGCTTTCAAACTTCCAGCAGCTTTCCCCATATGTGAATTACATTCAAAATGACTCAGCACAGCATCCAGGGTCTTCGCAGTACCACTTGACTTTCCAAGCTCATGTCCTTGTCCTCACACACCTCCTCAGTCCGGTCCACCGAACCCTTCATTGGCCGCTGGGCCTGCTGTGCACTTCTGCATCTCAGTGCCTTTCGGGTGCTCTTCCTCTGCCAGGAGCACCTGTCACACTTTTCATACCTATCAAAATCCCACTGAAGTTCTGAGACCCAATTCAAACTTCAACTACTTGGTAAGGTTCCTTCTGCACACTCACCACAAACTTATTTTAAGTCAAATACATACTAGTTTCTTACTGTGAACGTTTGGTGGATTGTTAGTTCCTAAAGCATGTTTACATTGTCTCAAAAACCTCTCAGAGGATGAATCCTCAAAAAACCTTTGTATTAATCATTTTAGAACTTGATCTTTTCTCTTTTTCGCCATTTCAAGATATTTACACTATACCCCCCAACCCCCCGTCTGTCTGAATTTTAATTATACCTTTTTAGCTTCAAAGAAAAAGTCATCAGAATCTTGGGAGTTTATTGTCAATTATGAACTTGGTTTAAAGAGTAACTGGCCAGAATTTTCTTTCATATGACTAAGTCTCTCCATATTTCTGAGAACTTAAAGTATTTCTAAGTCTTAGGGGGAGTTAACGTGTTTGATATGGGATTTCCACTGCAACACACGAATGTTTTCTGCCTTAAAGAGAGCTAGTAAGGAAAGAAATCTATTGAAAACTTTCTCCCGCCTGCTTCTGAAACTACTGCCATCTGTGAATCTGGAAACTGGAAATTTCAGAAAGCATCTATACAGCTCAGCAGTTGTAGAAAAAGATAACAAAGATATCTGGAGGCCAGACAGCTTGTCAGCCTCAAATTTTAGAGTGGTACAGTCTAACCTTCATCATCAATCGTTTAAATAAACAAAAGGATAGAATCTTTGGAATACATTGATAATTCAGTTAATATTAATGAAGGCCTCACAGGGTTCACTGAATTATATTAGACAGTGAAATTGTTACCTGAAAAATCCTACAAGAAATTAAAGTCCAGTACGTGCAAAAATTGGGATTGCCGTAAAGGAAAAAATAGTGGGTAAATACATGAAATATACAAGAATCCTTCCCGGTGCACGTCTGTAAAGTATGTCTTTGATGTATCTTGTCTACTGTTACAGTGATGCCAGAGACTTAGCACTTAGCACGGTACCAGTAAGTAAAAACAAACAAAGATTTCTTTCGGATGAGAAAGCGCAAACACCCATTCATAAAACCATTGGTAAGCATTTTTTTTTTTTTTTTAATCAACACTGTCATTGTCACAGCCTGCTTGATCTTCCTACTTTGGGTTAATATGGAAGCCAATTACAGCTTCATCTGTGTAGAATTAACTTTATGGAGCACACACCGGGGATTTGTCTATCTTCACTATTTAGATATATGCCATAAAAATATGCATGGAACGCAGTGCAAGCACTGCAGATGGCAGAGACTTTCAGATTTATTGTAAAATCATTTAAAATCGGTTATGCTCTCGCCAGAAGTTAATTAATTTTTTTTGTTCTTTTCTGGGGCTGGGGGGCTGGGTTGGGGGGGCTGTGTCTCACTAGGTGGCAGTGTATGATTACATCTGGAAAAGCCATGGCATCAAGTCCAGTGTCTCCAGCTGTGACCTCCAACATCAAAATGAAATTTCTGTGTCTGCACTTGGTCCAGGAGATATTACTTCTCATGTATCTGTATATACCATTTATCCCAGTGGGTTGCAAGAGCTGTACCGCCATTTTCTCAGACTCCCTGATGGGGCCATTGTTGAGGTATGTATATATGAAAATATCTGATGCAAATGCTGGGTAGTGCTTGAATTTTGTAGTGCTTGAATGTGCATATCCATAAATATATATATGTATGTGTGTGTGTGAGCGTGTGTGCATATGTGTATATGTATACGTGAGCTTCAATATTACCTTACAGACATATCATAACTTATGTTTTTAACATATGGTGGGCTTGAAGATGTGTTTTAGTTTTTGCCTAAACAAAGGCACCACATAGAAAAAAAAAAAAGTTTCTGTGCATAACTATGTCTGAGAGAGGCAAGAAACAAATCAAGTTAAATAATTGAGGATTCTGACTGCAATAACTTTTACTCAATATTTGTAAACATTAGCAGGTTGGTGAATAATAGTTCTAGGAGTTCACAAACACCTCCATGCCTCAGGAATTGCCCAGTCTTTCCCTTAAATGATCTCGCACAAAATAAATCAGATGGTAGCATTTCATTGTGTTTTCCCGGTGAGAAAAATCTTAAAAATAAAGAAATGTGCCCCATCAAGTAGCGTTTGGCAAAGATCTTGATGTTATGTTTTCTCCTAAGAAGTCAGGATCTTTCAGTGGGCTGACTTTGAGTTTTTAAAAAAATCTCTTGCAATCCCTCATATTCTCTGAATCCAAATTCATGGTCTGTCCCGTTAGCATCACCCTCGAATCGTGAATCCTGAAGGAGTGTTATTATTTGGTGGAAATAAAGAGTGGTGGAGAAGGAACATTAAGATACATAGAGCATTTGGTTCCCTAGTCCTGTTGGCATACAAACATCACTTAACAGTGGCGCAATACTGGTTGATTAGAATTGGAAGAATATTTGAATATTCTATTGAATATTAGAATATTGGAATTCTAATATTCCCAGCACATTTTCCCTTTGAACCTTAGCCATTGTTGTTTTTGTTACTAAGTTGATGAAAGTGTGTCCTCCTAAAACAGCCTTTTCAATATAACCTTCAAGCAATTTCAAACTGTTTAGCACCCAGTCTTGCGAAACACCCGGATTGGGAGTTTCTTCCTCCTGCTATCACAACCCACAACATTGCTTGGGTACTTGAGTGAGTCACATACACTCTACTCAGAAAAGCACAGAAGTGGGGAAACGATATCCCATCAGCTGGCTCTCCTCTCCCCCAACCAAGATGTAGTATGAGAGGGAATTGCCTATATTGTAGCAAAGCAGCAGGTAAGCAGATTGTAACAGTATCCAATGTAAGACTTAGGGAGTTTGGGTCACAGGCTGCTATTGCCACTTTTGCATGTAATCCTTTTCAGATTTCTGAAACATTTGCTTAGGTAATCTCTTTGCAGAACAAAACTGCCAAGGATGCATTTTTAAAACAATTTGCATAGGCGTGTGCTAAAATGTGTGTGTACACCACGCACTGAAATAACAGGAAAAGAAGAGGCATCAGGGTGGTCTGCCTTTCTGCTACAAAATATCTTGTAGATCCTAGAGCCTTGGGGCCCGAATAGAAAGCCCAGGTGTAAGGCAGTTGCAGTCCCCTGAACAGAGCGATCACCACCACCCTTCGATTCGCTCACTTCTTCATTTACTCCATAACCTTGGCTGAGTCATTTCCCACTGCTCTGCCTATTTCCTTATCTGTGAAACTGGGTTATGAATACTCATACTACCTGGCTCATAGGGATTTGGGGCAGATTAATGAGATAACATCTGCAAAGTACTTTTAGCTGTTAAAAAAAAAGTGCAATAAAGATTGCAAAGTATTACGAATCATGCACAATTAAATCCACTGAACTTGTAAATATTTGTTCAAGTACTAATAGTAACATTATGCTAAAAATAAAATAAACTCACTTCTGGAAGAACTGAGCAGTGGGGCAACAGGTGTTATTGACCCGTCTGACTCTTTTATTGCCAGTGTTTTCCACACCATTGCCTTATATGATGGTAATGGTGGAAGAACAGCTGGGCATTGGTAGGAGCCTGTGCTCAACTGAAATTCCAGCAGGCATTCAACTGGCTTTACTTTATCTGTCACCTGCTCTGTGAAACCTATGAAGTGCACTTTCAAATTGGTGTAACCAGCTTGTACCTTCTGTAGCACTTGTCACAATATTATATTTTATTCTTCAGCCTTTCCAAACTTGTTTCCAGTGTTACATTGTGTCTCTTAGAGGGTAGGAACCATAAAACAATACCAGTCCCAGAGCAAATTGAGAATTAGACAAATTTTCTTATCTGTCTGGCTATTCACCAATCTTCCTGCTTTCCTTTTGCTCTTTCTTAATCTCTGAAAGGTTCTGCCAGGCTTATTCCTGGGCTTTCGAGCTACAAAACTTAACATTGGAAGGGGTTTAAAACTGGTCTTTTGCAACCTCAGTGAGAAAACCCATTCTGTTATCTTTCCCCAGATGTGTGCATTGTAAAGAAATATCAAATACCAGCAAATGGGTAGATTATATTTTCTGGATTAAAGAAATATCCCTTAATTTTTTAAAATGATGGTTTATAAGCAGTCACCTACTTGCCCAAAAGCTACCTTCAATCATTGAATTTCCTTTCTCTGTACTTTGTATGTAGTTGGTACTTAAAGATATCTATTGAATTGCATTAAATTTCTGGATTCCAATTTACGCTACATAATAGACACCAGAAGATATTTACCATCGATGCCACGGTGAATTAAGTGACCTAGAATTAGGAAATGACTTAGAGGTATTTAAAAATACCTGTAAGACTGATGCCATATTTCGGTAGGATATTCTGATAATGGAAGAAGTAGGTAGCTGTGTCTGGGCCTAATTTCTTTACAAATTAGATATGGCAATAAATATGAAACAAAAATGAATGAGGTTTTGCTTCACCCTTATAACCTGAACTCTATTCTTGAAGGCTTTATGGTGGTTTTTAAATAGGGTACCTAGTTCTCTAAGTTCCTTTTGCATTTAACACAGCTCTAACTTGGAACTAGAGTGATTTTTAAGGCTTTCCTACTTCTGATATGAAATATAGGTCATATATTTACATTTTCTATGTTTTTTTCCTCAGTAAACACCTAGCATTTTGGATTTGGAGCAAATTATTTTCAAGTTTAATTTGCGTAGACAACTATGCTTTTGCAAAAGAATAATTCCTGCACAAAAGAGGTCAGATTTCGTTTGTCTGAAATAGAAATCACATTACAAGCAATATTTCCTACAGATATGTGTTCATAATGTTTTTCATCCCGGCTTGTGACCTAAGAAGATACAACTTTTACCGTGTTCTACATATTTTGCTTTGTAAAATATCCCCTCCACCGTTTGTCAGAGATGGTCGTTGGACGACCAAGCAGTGAGCGCCTCTCTTTAATTCTATTTTTATCAGCCTTTCTAGGCTCCATGGATTCCAACTCCTCTCCACAGAACAATGCTTTGTCTCTTTGTTCCATAGGTAGTGTTATCTTGAGGTATTTTTGTAAGAACAAAGTTACCCTAAAGTTTTTAGTGCTACAAAACCTAGAAACCCAGGCAAGATTGGTGCAGATTCATCAAGTCACAAATAAGCTTCCCAATCCCAGGGTATCAGTCGCAATTAAGAAAGTCCTTGGAGCATTAGTTGGGGTGGAATGGGAAAACGGTTTTTGTCATTAGAGGCAGTGTCGCCTGGTGGTCTGAGTGGAGAACTGGGAGTCAGGAACCGAGCGATCTAACGCAGGCTCCGCGAAGCCCTCCTGCGCGGCTTTAGGCAAGCAGCTGCGTCTCAGGAGACCAGGCTCACCTACTTTGAATCTCCCATTTGAAGCACTCCTTACCCAGGGCCAGGGGATACACAGCAGGAAGCCTGATTCCTTGTCTGCAAAATTAGAATATTAATACTTGCCTAAATAACAGATTAACCAATTAGTGATTGTTAAGTGCTTGGCTGATAGAAAGCAGCAGGAGAAGAAAGGAGAAAAGAACAAACCGAAACACAGTATTATTCTTAGGTGGGTTTTACTCAGCTCTGGACTTTCCTACTGCCCATGCAATCAAGTGACCACAAGTGCAAAGAGCAGGTGTAGAGAGACTGGACCTTAACTTTATTTCTCTCAAGACAGCAGATGAAACCGACTCTCCTGCAAGGCTGCATGAAGCTTTGAATAAATGGAGAGACGGAAACCACATTTTGTCCTTGAATTGATGAATTGCAGGGCAAGACCTCATGACGAATAATCGAAAATGTTTTAGCTTCCACTCTTCTATTTTGATTTCTTCCAGAAAAGATAGTTCAGTGTATTTGGAATTTTCCATATCTATATTTTACAATGACCAATTTGCAGTGCATATGTGTGTGAGAGAGAGAAAGAGTAAGATTAAGAGAGAGAGGAAGAAGTTGCGCAATAATATAGATGAGAAATCAATAGAAAAATACAGAAAAATTGGTGCCTTTGGACAACATTCATCTAATTAATTTAAATTGTTAATGATATCTTATATTTTCAGGGAGAAAATGACCCCATCAGTTTTTCCTTTTGTTCAAAGTCATTGCACATGGGAAGGAAAAAAGCCATGCATGTGTTTCCCACTGTGCATAGTTTTAGGCTGCTCTGGATTTAATATTGGTGTGAATTTATTTATACAAAATAGAAGAAAGGTACATTTTCATTCACCAAATTTAGAACACTTGATATTTTGTGCACAACACCTGCAAAGGAAGATTCAGTATGGCCTTTGGGTACATTTGCTCACATGATAATATCAAAAATGCACATTAAGATAAAAAAACAGTAATAACAATGATTATGGATTTGCATAAAATATTGCAAAAAATTTAAGTATACTAATATGCTTTATTTCTGGTTTTCAAATTCAAACTTCATAGTTGCTACTTCTATTTTTTAAAAAATAAGGTCCTGATACTATTTTGCCTCTTCCTTTCACTAAGAATGATTGATGGACTATTTTAACTAAATTATAAAAGGTCAGCATTTTGCTATATCTGAAACTCAGACCTTATTATAAGCAACATGTAAACAAAAGAATGCAAAAGCAAAGTAGAATT